AATAATGTTATTCACCTTCCAACTCGTCCGAAATTGACAAAAAATATAAAGATGTTCAAAGATTGGGTACTTCCTTTTAGAAGTAACGTTCAGGCCAGTAAGACAAAAGTAATGCCTAGACCGACTTCAAATGTCCTGAATTTTTTTTTCAAAAATAAAGAGAGCCTTTCACCGTTATTTCGATGATACACATTTTGGTCACATCAAGCCATGTAGCTACAAGGCGAAAGGTATAAGTATAAAGCTACCACAATACTTAAAGAAAATTATATTTAGTTCGCATTCGTTCCCTATCATTTCCGTTTTACTTAACTCAAAGCAATTTCAGAACATAAGAAAGTTCTGGTAATAATATATCTAAAGTTGAGAAATATCCAGTCGTTTTAAATAATTTTAGCTTGTCTTAAGTTTAATGTTCAATAATACACGTATTTCAATGGATAACATTGTGATAAACATGTGTATATTCTCATCATTATTTGCAACTGTTCTAATATAATGCAGATGCAAATGCCAACAAACACATACATATGCACACTGTTTATTAACAAGAAATATTGACTCAAGTGGTTGTCATGACATGAATTTATTATTTAAACAACTGCTCTATGTCTACCTCTCTCTCTGTCCCCCCTCTCTCTCCCTAACATTGTCGATGCACATAATTTAATGACAAGTTTTAATACTCTTGTTGACAACTTGAGATAGTTAGTCCATGTTGTTAAACATTTTTCATACCTGTTATGGATACAAAACCCGAAAATTCCATTTAAATACCACACAAATACAAGTTTTCTGTAACCAAAACCGCATACACTTGGAACTTATGTTTTCAATGGTTACATGTACGATATCCTTGGGTACAATAAGGATACAAAGATATGAGTAGCAACAAACAAATAAACATATGTTGTGGACAAAATGCATATGGAGACAAGAGACGGGATACTAAACTGAAAGAAGTGTTCGAAGCGAAGGGTTGAAATATTTTCTGGAGTTTTATTTTGAGAAGTGTGGAGAATTAATGTTACATTTATATATATAATTGTTAACTAATATATTTTTAATAATTCATTAGTAGTTCACGGGTACGAACAGCCCGAAGAAGCGCAAGCAAACTCCTTTCCACGGAACTCAGAACGAGAATTCTGAAATTTTTTACTTAGAACAATTTACAAAATTTACTAGGACAATTTTATATGATGCTAATAATGGTACGATTAGTATCGGAAATTCGATATGGGAATATGGGTTATTTATGATTGGTCCACAAAGTTAGTAACGCCTCGAAATATCGCCGACTTAAGTCGATCGTCCGTCCATCTGTCCATGTTTGTTTGTAAACAGTCCGCAGGTCGAAGTTAAGCTCCGATCCTTACAAAATTTTGCTTGAAGTTAAGGTTATGGGGCAGAAGAGACGCATATTGTGTTTTGGAGTTGAATTGGACCAATAACAGGAATTTTCCATTGTTTTGTAGTGGCGCTACATGTCTCACTTTCAGACCAATCGACGCGAAATTTTGCATGGGACTAGAGTTCCAGACAGGGCATAAACCTATCATTATATCTTTTGTGCGAAAATACCATTATTTCCGTTCAACCCTCGAATATTTTTGTTAGTGAAAATCAGTTTCCATTTCGAAGACGTATAAAGTCAGATATAGGAGATATCGTAAAATATATACAGAAATCTAAATTTTCAATATTGTATTGAATTCCCATTAGATTATGACGAAATTTAGCATGATCTCGTGGTCCCGGTCAAAAATCGTTAGAAACCATTTTGCCTGACTATATAACATGACAAATCTACAGAAACATTACTAAGAACTATAGTGGTGTAGATTATTACACGACTATAGACGGTGCCTTCTTCTAAAAAGGGTTTAAACCCTAGCGGAAAGGGTTTTTGTAGGTTTTCTGAAAGTCATAAAATGCAATGGTCTTTGATTCCAGAGGTCATATACAACAAGTGGTAAAAAAGCAGTAAGTTTGGCCGGACCGAACTTTGAATACCCTCCACCATTTGAGACGAATTAAGAAATTAAAAAAATATCCGTTAAAAATTCGGTTAAAATTTTTAAAATACCGAATATATCTATTACATTGGGGAAGACATGGACCTGTAGAGGCAACTTTTGTCACAAGCCATAACAATGTTCAAATCCGAAGCTTAAATTCGGTGAATAATGTACCTAAAAGCGTCAAAATATAGAATGTCGTCAGGTGGTGGACTTATATAGATATTTCACTTCAAGGGGGTAAAGTTCTTAGAAAGATCTCCCTTTTGTGGGTTTTCAGACAATTTCATTTGGCTGCAATTATCAAAGTACCGAATATCGGGGGTGTATAGTTATATGAGGGCTATACGATATCGTGGACCGATATAGCTTCAACCGATTTCAAATTTAAACCAATGAAATCGGTGTGGCCCTTCTACGCACTTGACCAAAGTTTAAACAATATTTCCTTGCACCATATATGTGCTTAATCGTAAAATCCAATTATGCAGTACAAATGTTCCGAAATGGATTTCGTTTATAGAGATATGAAATATAAAATCGTTTTTTTCCATGAGGAAAATTGTGGCTTTATGAAATGATGTGTACAAAAAAATATAGTTTACGAACCAAAATATAGTTCACGAACCTGTGCCAAGTGATGCGCTGAAATTGTTATCTCTTTCGGGTTTTTATACCCTACATCACATAGTGGTAAGGGTATTATGTCTTTGTGCATTTGTTTGTAACATGGAGAAGGAAGCGAGATAGACCCATAGTTACTTTTAAGGATCTCCATAGAATCACTTTCTGAGTTGATTTATTCATGTCAGTCCGTCCGTACGTCTGTCCATGTATTCTTGTGAATTGAGATGAAATTTTGCACAAATCATTTGTTTGGCCCAAGGACGAACCCTATTGAAATTGGAGATAATCGGTAAAAATTTAGATATAGCTCCCATATACATCTTCGTCCGATTTGCCTTTTATTGTGCACCAAACGTGTAATACCAGCCCAAATAGTATGGCATTTTGCACATGCGACCAAATTAAGCCTGAAAATAAGTAGGCCAAATTTGGTCGAAAAAAGTTCAGATAAAGCTCCTATATACAATTTTTATCCGATTCGTTATTTTTGTAATCCGTAGCCGTAATATGCACTCTGTAACAACAATATTTGGGGAAATATATCAAATGCAGTTCAGAAATACCTTTGCTAAATTTTATCGAGATTGGTTCAGATTTGGATATAGCTCCCATATATAACTTCGTCCGATTTAAAATTTATTGTACACCAAAGGTCTAATATTTGCCCAAATGGGATGGAATTTGGCACATGCGACCGAATTGAGTCTAGAAGCTAGCATGCCAAATTTGGTGAAGATAGATTCGGAAATAACTATAGCTCCCATATATATTGTTCATCCGATTTATTGTATTTGTTACCCACAGCCGTAATATGCACTCTGTAAGAACGATATTCAGGGAAATATATCAAATACAGCTCAAAAATATCTTTGCCAAATCTTATGGAGATCGGTCCAGATTTGTATATAGCTCCCATATATATCTTTATCTGATTTCAAATTAATTTTGCATTAAATGGGCAATACAAGTCCGAATTTAAAAGATACAAATGCTTCGGCATATTTAGTCCTTTGAACTTTAAATAATAATTATAATCATAGCGTGTATGATTAAATTCTCCCATAAAATTTTTTATTGTTGTGTGGAGCTCTACTAAATTAGCAAGTAGGGTATCATAAAGTTGGCCGCGCCCGACTTTAGAACATTCTTTACTGGTTTTTATTATTTTTATGTTAAGAAAAATCTTAAAAATAAAATTCGATTTTGAACGACCTTTTCCAAAACTTTACAAGATTTATTTTATTTTTTTCTTGTATTTTAGTTTTTGTATACACTTTAATGAACTATCCAGGCTCCGTGAATTATTCTGATACTCATATATTCCGGAACTATAAAAATACATTTTTTAGTTTTAGTCACTCTAGATTTTAGTAATTCTTTCAAAATTATTAATTTTGAGGCAAGATATTAGATACATATTTTTGGGTTTTAGCACAATTTGAATTATTTGAATGTTTGTACTTCAATTAAAAACAACAACGTCATCTTATACCACTCTAAATACATCCATTAACGATTAATTAATTATTTATTTATTTATTTATTATTTTTCTTTTTTGAAAATCAGCCATTAATAAAACGAAAATTATTCTGAAGCAGAATATGAAGCTTTGTTGATAAGTAATGCGAATTGAAATTTTGAGTTAGTAAATCACCTTTTAAAAAGTGGAATCGGATTTCGACTTGATTTTATTAAACATTCAAAATTATAAAAGTTTGAAATTCGCGATAAAATATTCGACGTTTTAGAAAATCTCGTATTACTTCTTATTTCGTTTTTAAAAACCGTTGTGATGTTTCCTGCAGAAGGCCCCAACAATCAATTAATTATTAATTATAGCATTACAACACAATTATTTAGAGTTAATCTTGTGTACACGTTAACAATTTTTAGTTTAAATATACACGCTGTAGTACGCACTTTCCTTTCTATTTGCTCTTAAATAGTCATTAATTAAAAAAGTAGAACATTTAATGGGTATTAAATTCGTGTCTCCTTTGTGTCCACTTAAATGTAATTTTATTGATTTTTAATAATTTTTTGTGTATTATTGTTTTTAATATTCTCCAAAGCATTATAAGCAATTTATGTATAAATGTTTAATTATAATTATCTAATTATACTTTAATTATTAGTACTACAATTAGGGTTAAATCATTTTACCGGGATTTTGGGAAAGTTTTCGGGGAACCCAACAAATTCCTCGTTGTTTTCTGTTTGGGAGGGGAAATGTTATACCTTTATCCTTTTTGATTCCACCATACAACTCCACAATTTATAACACCCAACAAACGAACGAAACGAACGAAAAGAGAGAGAGAAAAATCATTTCTTACACATACTTTACTCACCAAATACCATTGTTCCTTGAACAAAGGATCGGGAAAAATCGTGTGTGGTCCAGCATCACGATATTGTATGCGTGGAGCACGAGTTAAACCGTTACGATATGAGGTGTCCGGACCAGACATAACATGCAGCGAGGGTAGACCACCAAAGGCCGTGGTTTGACGCAGAATATCGTAGGGACTGTAACCGGGCAGAGAGGAATAGGAACCATCACGTTTGTGGCGAATTTTTTCATGCTGCTGTTGTATCCATCGGACCTGAAATTAAGAGTTTATTATTTTTTATAATTGAAAAATATAAAAACACAACATTCAAGTGAATTATAGTAGAACAGATATAGGTATTATAGTATAATAAAATCGTTTTTTATCCAACTCACCTCTGGCTCCGAATTTAAGGCTTTATGGTGTTCATCACTGGTTCTAAGGGATCGCTTTGAGACACGTTTATGATGGAAGAGATAATAATCTTTTAGAGCACCAATCTGAAAAAATAAAGGAAAATTAATATTGTTATATGATTTATCAAATATGAAATATACAATATTACTAAATTTAAAAAATGCATAAAACAATTTAAAAAATCTCGCTCAGACAATGTTCGATTATTTAAATTTATTCTGACTTTTGTTATAACTATTCAAATTGTTGAGCCTCTATGGAGTAGGTTCCGAAGGAATGGGACAATATTGTCTATTTCGTATCGGACCAAAATAAATGTCATATACAGAGTGACATAAAAAATCTGCAACCAACTTGTGACAGCAGTCATTTTTAAGCCACTATTCCGACAGCTGCAAAAATTATTCCAGTGACAGCTTATTATATTGTTTGCAAGCGTACAAGAGCATTTTGGTGCGAATTTTCCAGAAAAAAAATTATTCATGATGGAATTCAAGCGGGATAGTGTGATTTCCTTATATTTGGGTGGAAAACCACAATTGGCTATCGTTAGAGCACTCCAGCATTTAAATGTGAATAAATCTTTTGTGTCTCGTACCATCGTTCGTTACCGTGATACTGGTAGCGTAGCCCGACGTCAGAAAACAGTGGATGGAAGAAAACAGCAACATCAGCAGAAATGGTTCGAAAAGTAAAGAAGCGACTTGATCGAAACCCGCGTCGCAGTGGTCGAAAAATGGCTCGTGAGCTGAACATATCGCAAAATGCAATTCGGCAAATATTGAAAAATGAGCTCGGGCCATTGAAATTCCAAAAAGTGCAAGAACTTACACCGCAACAGAAAGAAAATAGACTTGAAAGAGCTAAAAGGTTGCTTCGCTTGGCCGAAAGTGGCGAACTGCCGAATTTGGTTTTCTCCGATGAGAAAACATTCGTTGTCTAGCAGTTTTTAAACAAACAAAACGATAGTGTTACTTGCCAAAGAGGTCAGCTGAAAATGTGCACCTTCGGTTGGCCACCAGAACTCAAGCGCCGGCAATGGTGATGGTGTGGGCAGCCATAACAGCCGATGGTCGCTCTCCGCTCGTATTAATCGACCGTGGCATCAGAATTAATGCTATATATATTAGAGCCTTGGGCAGGCAAACATTTTGGCCGCAGACCTTGGACATTCCCACGCGCCACGCAAGAATGATTACAAAATGAGTTTCCTCGCTTTATTTCCGGCGCAAAATGGCCACCAAAATCTCCGGATACCAATCCGTTGGACTATTGTGTCTGGAGTATTTTGGAAAGCAAGGTTGCCACTAAAAAATTCCAAAGTGTCGATTACCTCAAGCAAGCGTTTCGCCGGAAATGGGCCAAAATACCGCAGAGCAACATTCGGGCAGCTTGTGGCGGTTTCATTGGCCGTTTGAAGACCTTAATTTGTGCCAAAGGTGATCAATTCTAACAAATCTAAAGTTATTCTAAAATTTGATGCTATTTCCGAAATTTTTTTGCTTTTATTTAATAAAAATTTAAAAAAATGTAAAAATTATGGCGTTTGACTTTGTTGATGTTTTTTTTATCTCACCCTGTATAAAATATAAAAAATCATCATGAAAATAATTGAAAAACACTTTTTATAATAAAAATGCTCAAAAAGTCTGAAAATAGTGCCCGATTTCATTGGGAAATATCGGTCCAATCCTGATGATTTTTCATACGAAACTGCCGACTTTCAATGTGAGCACCGCAGGATTTCCTTTTTGTGCGATTTTAAAGAATATTAAATTACGTAATATCAATTCTATCGTTTGTGGCTTAAATTTATCCAATCGATCTTAATTTTATAGTTAGATCCCAAAAAAATGTCCACTGCTCCACACTTGTGGTTTCGTATGAATCCCAATATATCAATTTGCATTGCAGTAGTGTAGGGCTTGAAAACAATTTACCATTTTAAAAATAGAGGTTTATTGTCCAATGAAAACTTAATGGAACGTAAAAGAGCGATACAAGGCCACTGACCACCATTACCAACCACCATCGACACTGAATGACATTAACAGAAACAACATCAGCAGGGCCGAAGCAATTGAGTCAACAATGGACCAGCATTGATGGGCCAACAATATCGTCGTAGTCGCCATCACCAACACTATCGCCGTCATCAACACCACAACTCATTACAACACAACATGGCCACAATTGAGAGAAATAACACACAGTCAGCGACAGAGAGCGAGAGAAAGAGAGAGGGAGAGAGAAAATTTAATTAAAATGTTTGAATTGAATGTCAGGTAAATGAAAATCCAATCGCCAACCAATATTGTTGATATTGTCCAATATCACACGATGTTGATGGTGGTGGTAGTGGTGGTCGTAAATCGTCCTCGACATCTTCATCTTCTTCGCCCATTTCCAACACTGCTGTTACTTTGGAAAAAGCCCCCAAAGCAACAGCATTCACAAGAGTTAGAAAGCAAACGTGACAGCGAACATGGAAGTACGAGTATAATACATCCGTATCATGGCTGGGATTCTTAGCAAGGCCACCAATTTATCCAAGTTTTTTTTTTCCGGGGAAACCCTCGCTGTGTGTAAAGTATACACCACCGCATCGTATCGTATCGAACGTATACTTTATTTCCGCCACGACAAGCTTGTTAGCGTTTATTTGAAAATCAATTTATATTTTCTACTTTTTTTTTTTTTTTTTTGATTTGTTGTTGGCGTTTGGTTTTTTTCTCATTTTTACTTCGAGAGGAGTGGAGAACCAAGTGGTGGTTGTTGTTTTTTCCATTGCAATTGAAAGTCAAGGATTGAAGTGAGTGGGTGTAATTGTATTTTATATATATCTATAATTCAATACACGTTTTATAACAAAATAAATAAATCGCAAGAAGTTGTATGCGTGTAAGGATTGAGGGGGAATTTCAATTGCGTTGAAGAGCGAGCATAAGTAAACATCACTTCCGAAAAAGTCACAACATCAGTCGCTACTGACATTCCCAAGTGCTGTTCATGAATTCATGAAATACAAAACACGATTTGATTTGAAATAAAGATTTTCTTTTTTGGGATTTGATTTTGTTCACATAAGGAAAGAGCCGATATATATTACAACATTGTGTCTTTCTCTTTATCGTAAATATACCTCATTTCGATGTTAACATAAAAAAGTAAAAAGGAATTGTTTTTTCCCAAGCCTTTTAAATGTGACAACATTAATGCCCAGTTTTTCTATGGCAATTGAAAATTAATCAATCCTTAAATTAAAGTTGTATTCTTGCATCACTGCCAAATGAGAAGAAAATGCCAGAACATAAAAAAAAATATTTCCCAATTGTAGGGTATAAAAATGTCAAACTTATGGCGTTTGACTTTGTTGCAGTTTTTTTATCTCACCCTGTATATGGGAGCTATAGCTATATCTTAATCGATTTTTACCGAAATTTGAAGCGCTTGCTTTTGAGCTGTATTCCGTCGGAAGTGCCAAAATAAAGTTCATTTGGTCTAATATTAACCTTTTGGAGCACAAAAAACCTGAAATCTGATAAAGATATATATGGGAGCTATATCCAAATCTGAACCAATCTTGACAACATTTTAGGTACTTATTTCTGAGCTGTATCTGATATCTGGTACCAAAGATCATTCTGTGGAGTACATATTACTCGTGTGAGGGACATAAAACCTCGAATCGGATAAAACATATATATGGGAGCTATAGCTATATACTACTTCTTTTTGGCAGATATTTTTCTAAGGACACCCTTTGAACATGTCTACTGTTCACTGGACTTTTTTCTTTTGAGAGGTCTTCTCTGTAGAGACACTGTTTGAAGGGCCTTCTTAATATAGAAGACCATTTGTAAGGCGTTCCCTTTGACGAAGTTCCTTCTCGTTTCCACATGGAAATCCTTTGAAAGGCCTTACCCTTATATAAGACATTTTGAGAGACAAATTCTGTATCTAAGGTCTTTTAAATGTTACATTTATTTAAAAAACGATAAGTCCTTAAAGTTATATATTTTAAAAGTTTATGATAAGTCCTTAAAAAATATATATTTTAAAAATCCATGATATTTCCCTAAAAATATATATTTAAAAAATCCATGATATTTCCCTAAATATATATATTTAAAATATCCACGATCTATTTTGAAAACCAACGATAAACTTTTAAAGCTTAGTCACTATTAGACCTTTAAAACAAATTTTCTTTCAAGATCATTGGTCAGACCTTCAAAAATTAACGATAAGTCCCCAAAGATATAAAACAAAATGTTTTTAAAATCCAAAAATATACCTTTACAATTAGACCTAAAAAATGGAATAACATGTGTCGAAAAATTTACGATTGGAACCTAAAAAAAGTAGAAATTTGAAGCGCATGGAAACTGCAATTCTTTTTTACAAAAATTACGTTTAAAGTCTTCACTTAAGCTTCAAAGTTTTTTTTTTAATCTACGTTTAGGGGCTGTAAAAAACTCATTCTAAGATCGAACAGAAGCTGTATTTTTTTATCCACGTTTAGGATCCTTACCTGAGCTTTAAAAATCCTTTAACAAATCCACATTGAAGAGCCCTATATTAGCTCAAAAATATCTTCTCTTATTGGCTTTAATAACTTATTCAAAACAACCAAGGGCCTCATTGGAGATGTAAAAATTTCTCTGAAAAATCCAAGTTGAAGGGCCTTATTGGCGATATAAGACTTTTTAAAAAAAAATCAAGTTGAAGGTCCTTATTAGCGATATAAGACTTTTCTTTAAAAAAATTCACGTTAAGGGGCCGTCTATTGGCTTTAGAAATGTCTTCCAAAATTCCACTTATATGAGCTACAAAAATTTCTTCAAAAAATCCATATTGAGGGCTTTTTATTGGTTCCAAAATTTGTTTAAAAAATAATCTTTAAGGGTCTTATATTTGCTTTAAAAAATTCTTCCAAAATTCCACTTTAAAGAACCTTAAAGGGGCTGTAAAAATTTCTTTAAAAAATCCACGTTGAAAAATTCACTTTTAAGAAACTTAAATGAAGTCTAAAAATTTCTCTAATAAATCGACGTTTGGGGGCCATGTAGGAGCTGTAAAA